GATTTAAGTGTTACCTTTGTTGAACTCGTTGGTTTTGGCGAACGAGAGGAAGCTCGTGCCACCTTTAGTGTTCAGGGTGACAGTATTGCTGTAGGGCTCACCCTTCTTGTATTCTCCGGCTATCACCTAGAGTTGGGATTCATTATTTTTTTATCTATGTGGTCCTGCAAGACGCACCACATACATGCGTATGACTGCAGATCTCTACTTTAGCTATTAGTTTTTATACATTGAAATTTGAAATGAAACAAACAATAAAAGGGGTCTCTCTACTTAGAACGATCAGCCGAGTGCCTGCCTCCATAGTGCTGCGCTGTCAACAGGTTGTAATTGTGCAGCACAATTTGGTCGTGATTTTGAGGACAACTGAGTTGTATGAGGTTCCCTACTTGTAGAGTATTCTACTCAAGTACATATCATATCCCGCAGATGGAAAGGGCGTGGCTGTGTACTTCGACTGGGCGACATGGAGGCCATGGCGGTTCGGGAGAATGTACCCATTTCGGGGTAGTGGTCCTGTCTGAAGAACGCATTCTTCTATGCTCAAACTAATAGCTTACCTACGTCCTCCACTTCTCCGGGATATGGAGTGCACTGAAAAGTATTGAGGAAGTTGCATCATTTTTCAAAGGCTCAAAAAAAGATTCGAAATGAAGGACCAACGTTCAGCGGTGATAGCGCTGGGAGATCTTTAATACAGACTGTCCACTCATCCTGGTCCTTGCTATTTGTGGGGAGAAAAGGTCCACAGCTGCAGAAGCGTGCCACTTCCTCCGGTCAAAAGGGAGGGGTACGGGGTTGAAAGCACAGAGTACCATATCCATAGCCATCCTCCCGCTGAATCATGGCCAAATGCGCTACTTATCGACGCCCTCTGACTTATGCTCTACCGCTGAGCGTCTATTTCGTTGAGAGACTCCCAGTACTGTCCGGAGACAGATTTACAGCCGAAGCTGCCATCGGAAAAGTCGATAAAAAGGATCTGGTGAGTTTAAATGGATTTGGCGTTCAAGGAAGGGCACTCTCTAACGTCGGAGAACATTTCAGAAAAAATTCCCCGCCAAATACGGCTCTCCCTATATTTTCTCCTCGGTAATCAATCTTCCACAACCGAGCGGCTACCCAATCAAACGCTCTCGAAAATGGTCTTCGAGCGAGGAGGTAGGGTGAGGGCAAACACCTCCGGTTAAGCGCTAAAAAAGTAGTTTCGCAGTCTGCGAGGCTGCTAGGAGACTCGGAGTGAAAGGGAAAATTCAGCAATCAGAGAAAAAAAATATTTTCCGTTCCAAATACGAGGTTCGAGGTGACTGGTCCCTTTCGATTAATGACGTGTTTTAATAATGTATATCGAGTGCAACAACATAAAAAACTTCTTACCTTGGACAGCAAAGGATAGTCAGCCGCAATACTTGTTGGTAATGAGGAAGAGTAAATGTCGGGATAGTTGTAGTAAAGTTGAGTAGCTAAATGAGATGGAGTTTCAATAGGTTTTAGAGTGGAAACATGGCAAGACCTTCCTTCAAGCCTCACACATTTCACGCACTCAATCCGCGTAGGGGGGGGGACAAATAAAATAGTCTCCGCTCGTGGAACGCCGCCCTAGATTTTATTTCGGAACTAAGGGTGCTTTTCAGTGTGTGGTGATCTTCTCCTGGACCATGGCGCGCGAGTGACTCCCCATACCTTGGGAATCAAACAGCTGCTTAGCAGAGCCCACGATCCGAATTCGTTAGTAAGCGTTTAGACTTGATGGGCGTCGATGCGCGACGACGAACCACCACTACGATGCTGTAGCTGGGAACGAATCCGCAGACGGGTATCGCTCGGCGCCGGCCCCTTGTCTTTCGAGAGAGTATAGAATAACAGGGAGGTAGGAGTTGCTGAAGAACGCAGTTTGGTATCGATCAGCGCCAGCCACTGGGAATTTGGAAGAGCACAGAAGAGCAAGGGGGTACCAGATTCTGTGGAGGCCGGCCTACTCTCCGTCACCCCATACTGTCTTAAAACATAAGCGGCCGGCACCGATCGATACCCGTCTGCGGCTGCGTTCCAGTCTATGGCACTACTTTTTTCAGTGGTAGAGCGTGTTGACATGCGACATTGCGAAGTATAAACGCCGCCTAGTGAAAGGAGGAGGAGAAGGCGTAATATGGATGTTGAGCTGCTAAGAAAATCGAAAGTAAAGAAAAAAAGACAGAGAACCGTCCAAGTGCTTCTAATAAGGTCCCCTTCAGAGCAAGTTCACACGGCATGACAGCGAAAGGATCAAACGAGTTCCCAGACAGTGGCGCTGTGATCGATATGATTGACTCAATTGAAACCAGCTAGTTTCTAATTGGCAGTACTGCCCTTAGGTCCTCTGGCAGGTATTCTGCAGTCGGGCAGAGCGGTGGGTGGAGCCAATGAAGGTGGGTCGGTCTAGTAAGGAGAACGACGGTGTGAGCGCCCTCGTCGCTCGTGTTTGCGCTACAAAACTGATGCAGTCGCAGTCATTGCAGACCAGACCAGGGTACCTGCTCGCGGAGGGATAGGAACTTGGCAGCTGATCGCGGAGCGTGCCTTTGAGGGAGGAGCAGTTACTGTAAGTCGCCCTGAGGTTGACTGAGATGATGGATGACTTCATTCTCGTTCCTGTTTATAGGGGAACACCTGAGGAAAGTCTGGGAGCGTTTCATTCGACGTAAGCTCCCTTGGCAAGTGCCATGAGTGGAGTGTTCCCTTTTCTGATCAACCCCCAACCTCCTCCCTCCCCCTGCGGGTCTCTCGCGTCAGTACATAGCAACTGACCCTGATCCACCAACTCACCTATGTTTCCTAGTTGAGAGTAAGGGAGTGAAAGACACCACATTGTTTGCCCGTAGTCATGTCCACTGGTTGGATACTGATAGTGGTCCGGTGGTGGAAACTTCGGAACACTGTGAATCAACCACACGCCATCAGTTTTGTCGAAGAACATTGTACCTGAAATAGAAGCCTCCTGATCTCTAGAGTGGTGCTTTAGAGGCAAGTTTGACCCAGGAAGGTCAAGTCGATTGCGTTTACATCACGAAGAATATTTTGGAAATTACCCATGCACCTAGTCATTTCTTACCTTTCGTGTGCCCATTCTGTATGGCTGCAGCTCGGTTTGTTAAAAGCATTTCCAGTAATGAAACAGAGGTCGAATTGTAGGGCTGAAAAGAAAGTAGTTCTTACGCATACGGTAGGTCATAGGAATAAAGTGTAATTCCTGCCATGTAAGTATACAAGTTGCTTCGCAATTGCCAACACACTTACGGTATGCTCCACGCATTATGCTCTGTCTAGAACTGTAGTGATTTTTGGAAACACACTATTATTGGGGAGACCAGCCGGGCCCTATTAACCTTGGGAGTGAGAAGAGCAACTGAACGACTCTTTGTGCATAGCTGGAATTATCACAGTAAGGATAGGATGTCCGCACCTGACACTGGTTCATCTTCCCAGTAGCATCGTCCCTGTTTGGTCTTTGGCAAGCGTTTTCATCTCTTTAACGGTCATCCCATTCAGGATCGCGTTGTGTAAATTTTTTTTACTGAAGTATTCCCCCTCCTACGCCCCAGCCCCTTTGATGCGACCGCTTTCACCACCTACTCTCTTCTTCCCATTTTCCTTGTCAGCATCTTTTCTCAATCTCTCCCGTCTTACCGAGCGCGAAGGGGTTGACGCCTCTGCTTAACTATCAAGAAAAACTAAAGGTTTGTCGCACTAGTGGAGAGGAGGGTGGGCGGAAGGGGGTTGGGCGCGGTGCGCGTGTGAAACGGGAAAATCAGCGATCACAAAAAGAATCCCATGGCAAAATATGAACCCTTCTCCAGCAGCAGAATATGGTCCCTGTCTGTTCCCACGAGGAAGGAATCGCTTAAAACCCCGCCCCCTCCCCACAGAGGTTGATAGTGTCACCAGCAGGTGTACTACAGCACTTTTATTTATGCACAAACCTGGTGCTGACCAACGGAAGTGCTAGTTTTGTCATGGGAGGAACGTAATTCTCGAACATAGCGCGATGGCGTAGTGTAGTTCGTTGCGGGCGAAGGGGCGTGTCAGGCGGGATGAATTTGGCGCGGTGCCAAACCCGTTCTCCACCATCTCTTGAAGCGAGCAAGTGACAATACTGTATCATATCGTTCGTATCTTTCGTTTTCTATCAACCTTTGTCGCATAATCGCTTCAGCAACTGACAGAGAACGGGTATGGCGCCGTTATACCAGCGCTGCCTGCCACTGCGAAACTACTACCAAAAAAACCACAGGATACGGTAAGAGACTCACCTCATCGTTGTACATGACGTGAAATATTGTTGGATCCGACTTTTTGCTATAGAATTGGTTCAGAGTGTATGCAATAGCCTAAATCAACAGCCATGATCAAGTTTATTCCATCATTCTAGGAAGGAGCTTCATTTCCAAAGATTAGTGGTCCCGAAAATACCGGACTCGATTGGTACACCGACTTTAAAGGTGTCTATG